TTTCTGCATCATTCAATAATTTGCCCAGCGAATCCTTCAATATTGAAAGTCAAGGCTTGAATTTTTTCCTCAGTTCCTTCAGCTTGAGAAATATTGAGCATGGTCTTCACTTTTGATTTTCCAACTCCAGGTCTCTGCACATTTTGTTATAATATTTGACTTTATCTTCTTGAACTGACCTTTGAAATTTTCTCTTCATCTCTTGTACCTCCTCACTTGTTCCTTTTGCTTTAGAATCTCTATGTTCGAGAGCAACTTTCAGAGTCTCTTCTGACATCCATTTTGGTCATTTCCTTGTCTTTTGTCTTCTCAATGACCTTTTGTTCTTTTCTTGTATGATGTTCTTGATGTCATCACGCAACTTTTCCAGTCTTTCGTCATTAGTGTCTAATACATCAAATCTGTTCTTCAGAATATCTCTAAATTAAGGTGGGATACATTCAAGGTCATATGTTGGCTCTTATGGACTTGTTTTCATTTTCTCCAACTTCAGCCTGAATTAGCATATAAGCAATTGATGGTCTGCTCAATAGTCTGCCCCCAGTCTTCTTTTGGCTGACAATATGGAGCTTTTCCACTGACTCTTTCCACAGATGTAGTCAATCTTATTTCTGTGCATTCCATCTGGTGAATTCCATGTGTATAGTCATCTTTTATGCTGTTTTAAAAAGGTATTTGCAATGAAGAATTCAATGGTCACCCAAAATTCTATCATGTGATCTCCAGCATTATTTCTAAAAACAAGGCCATATTTTCCAACTATTGACCATTCCTCTTTGTTTCCAACCTTTGCATTCCAATCACCAGCAATAGTCAATACAGCTTGATTGCACGTTTGATCAATTTCAGACTGAAGAAATTGGTAGAATTCTTTAGTTTCATCATCAGTGGCTTTAGTGGTATTAACTGGTCTTCCTTGTGATCTTGTTGTTGTTAGGTGCCATTGAGTCGGTACCAACTCATAGTAACCCTACCCACAATAGAACAAAACAATGTTGAGTCCTGGGCTAACCTCACAATTGTTGCCACGCTTGAGCCCTCTGATACTTCCACTTTGCCAATCCATCTCGCTGGGGGTCTTCCCCTTTTTCTCTGACCCTCCACCTTACTAAACATGATATCCCTCTCCAGTGACTGATCCCTCCTGACAATATGAGAGACAAAGTCTGGCCATCCTGGCCTCTAAGGAGCACTCTGGCTGTACTTCTTCCAAGATAGATCTATTTGTTCTTTTGACAGCCCATGGCACTTTCAGTATTCTCTTCCAACACCATAACTCAAATGAATCAGTTCTACGATCTTCCTTTATTCACTGTCCAACTTTCGCATGCATATGAGGTTATTGAAAATACTATGGCTTGGGTCAGGTGCACCTTAGTCCTCAAGTTGACATCTTGCTATTCAACAATTTAAAAATGTCTTGTGCAGCAGACTTGCCTAATGAATAC